GGTTGGTGTGGGGACAGAGTGGACCCAAATGCAACGCTCAGGCTCAACTGGTTTTATTGGGAAAAAAGGGGTTGAGGGACTGGAGTCGAGGGAGAGGTGAATGCCGGGGAAACGCAGGCACGGGGAACTGAGGAGACTGAGACCAGAGAGCCGGGGGTCACTGAGGGCCGAGGAAGAGAGTAGGCACAGGAGGACTGGGAGGACGCCGTGGGGGGAAGCCCAAGGGGAGAGGGCAGGTGAGCGAGCCCAGCTGACTAGACGGAGGACGAGGGTGAGTGAACCTGGGGAGAGACAGACAGAAAGACAGGGTTAGTGACACTGCGGGGACAAAGCACAGGGAAATAAACAAGATGCTGAATGTGTGCGAGAGCTTGAGTGATCGAGTGGCACCGGGTTTGGAGCAACGACGATCAAGCAGAGGTAGTGTGGAGAAGGGTTTGAAGTACTGGCAGAGATGGAGTTGATTGCTGGCAGGTGTGGCAGGCAGAGGAGGAGGTGGACGAGATGCAGGTGCGGGTCGTTGGCTGGGCTCAGGAGCGGAGGGAGAGAGAGAGAGAGAGAGAGCACACACAGAGGAGGAGACACAGGGAGGCAGGCAGAGAACAGGGAAAACCAGGGAAAAAACACAATCACAGACAAAGAGAGAAACCAGGACACTGTGTTTCCCACAGAATGACAGTGTAACTGTGGCATAAGCTATAAACAACGTGCTAACCTTGACAACCCAGTTGTATTCTGTAACATTAACTTAGCTCTTCTTATTAGCTAGGCTCCTTACGTGCTTGCTAAAAAGTTTTTTTTAAGCTGGGTGTTCCACAGCCTTGTGTTGGACAGATTTGTGCAGCGGTGTTCATAAGGGAGAGAGAGAGAGGGATGAGCGAGAGGATGTGCGTGAATGTGCTACAGTGCTCTGCAATCAAATACCATTTTAAATAGGCCTAGTAAAAAAAATAAAAATAAATTGACAATCAATATGTGGCAGTCAGCGTTGATATTGTGACGGGCTGCCACAAATAAATGAATGTATGGGAAACACTGGATCCACTGTTTAAAAGAGAGTTTAAAACCACAATTAATCCATCTGGTTTCTTCAACTTTCACTTTGGAGCAAAAATCTGGTTTATAATGATTTGACATTTATCATGAGAATAAAAGATACTGAATGATGTAAAATGTTTTATCGTGATAGCATTTTCAGCCATATTGCCCAGCACCTATTTTCCACTTCAAGCGCTGATTATAGATGGTGGCAGAAAATGTTACCAGAATGCAGGAAATTAACTGTTTAATGCTCAAACTCTTCTGGGGGGGGGGGGGCAGACTCCCTTTTATATTTCCACATTTAATGTTTTATCAAACCAGTGTACAATTATCTTGTCTTTTTCTTGTGAACCCAGAATTGTGTTTCTTCATGTTTCGTGAGCTAAGTGTATATCAGAACCCTAATCTGAGCCCCTATGTCCCCGTCAGTTTCAACACAAAGTTACCCTATTGCCCCCTACCCTCCATCTTTCGTAACACATTTCAGGCACAGAAAAATGTCTTGCTTTAAGTCCTGCATTGGGGATAGCAAGCACAACAATTTGGAATGTCCTGAAAAAGAAAGAAAGATTAATCTCTACCACAGTGATGAAAAGGCCAAAGTGTGGAGAAAGACAGGAACTGCTTATGATCTGAAGCATACAAGCTCACCTGTGAAGCATGGTGGAGGTAATGTCATGGCTTGGGCGTGCATGGCTGCTTCTGGAACAGGCTCATTAATATTATTTATGATGTAACTGATGATGGAAGCAGCAGAATGAATTCAGAAATGGACAGAAACATTTTGTCTGCCAATTTATGGAGAAATGCATTGAAACTAATCGGGAGGTCGTTTATCATGCAGCAGGACAATGAGCCAAAGCACACTGCCAACAAAACACACTCTCAACTTCATCAGGGGAAAAAGTGGAAGGTTTCAGACTTGCCAAGTCAATCAGCTGACCTTAACCCAATAGAGCATGCATTTCACCTCCTTCAGAGGAGACTGAAGGGAGAAACACCCCGAAACAAACAAGAACTGAAAGAAGCTGCAGTAAAAGCCTGGAATAGCATCACAAATGAAGATTGCAACCGTTTGGTGATATTGATGGGTCGCAGGCTTGAGGCAGTTATTGCAAGCAAGGGTTATGCCACCAAATATTAAATTATTTACTTTAAGATTATTTGTTCCATTACTTTTGCTCACCTAAGAATGCTGTGGTCTAATACAAAGGCTGGTATGTCCTGAGTTGTTTAAAACATCTAGATGTGAATACCAGGAAGTAAAAGCTGAAATTCTGAACTTGTCTCATACTCATCTTTTGGTCTTAAACCCAAATGTCTTCAGTGAATAACAGAAACAAAGGAATTTGCCTTACTGTTCCAATACTTTTGGAGGGGACGGTATACAACGTTTTTGAAAGGCAGTGTAATAATTTCTGTGTTCAGCCGCCTTGGTTGCTAAGAATTGCATAAAAACTAGCATACTGCCATGTAATCTCCGTTTGCAAAGATTTGCGGTACAATGGGTTGTACTAAAGACCCAACTGACCTGACCTCACTCATGATCTTTTTAGCTGAATGGAAGAAATCCCTTCCGCCATGTTGCTAAATCTTATTAATGCATATGATTTGAGATATTCAGAAAATCACATATGGGTTTAATATTTGGATGTCCACATATTTTAAAAATGTTATTTTGAAGGGAAAGAGCTCTTGCCAGGTAAAACTGCAGTAAGTCAGCCTGGTGACATGTCAGAGGTGTGATGAGAGTGCAGAGGGTTCCCAGCATGGTGTCATGGCAGACAGGTAGAGGGTTTGGAGGATGAGGAGATGAGGTGCTGGAGGAACAATTTGACACTGAAACTGAGAGGAGGAGGAGGTTTCATCGGTAAGCAGAAGTATTTCTGTCTCCATTATTGTCAATGTAGGCAATGTCTCTCCCCTGACTCCAAAATATTACAACATCATGATCTGGAAAATGCTGTTTTATTGTCATAGATTTGTTTACTTTTCTCACTTCCTTACATGGTCCAAAGTTAGCACCAGCCAACAGCCGAATGCTGGTAACATATGCAAATGACCAAAACAACTATGTTAATCTATTGAGTGGCTTGTACACCTTGAGCATTCACTAGCCATTTGGCTGGTTAATTTTAAAGGTAATTTTGCACCCCGCTTTCATATAAATGGGATTCACCATTGTGAGTGTCATATTATAAAAATAATATCAGGTTTTCAAGTTTTTCACATTTTAACAAGAGATGTCTACTACAAGATATAAGCTCTGGCTCTGCACATAATTAACATAATTCACACAAATTAGAGGTAAATTGTATCTGATTGACCAAATGTTAATAATGAAGCCATCAGTGTGTTTCCAGTCAGAGACAGTTCTCTCTGATTTTACAGAGAGCTGACCCCTGCCCTCTTCATTTACATGGAGTGGAGGCCTGAAGGTGCATCCTGGGAAGGAAGAGAGGGAGAAGTAGAGAGGTGATGCTTCACTGATGGCAGAAGAATGAAAACTAAGTTTTATTTTATCTGATCTGAGTCTTAACTTTTGCAAGCAACTAAAACCAGGCAAAGGGATATTAATCTCTCTATTGTGCTTTTATTGCAAACATTTAATAACAACCTAACTATATGAATTTAAATATACATATTTGAGAGAGTTATTATTGTAATTATAGTAATTATCATGTGATGAACATCAGGAGAAAAATAAAATTGAGGGAAGGTAAAACATTTTGTAGAACATTATGGCTTTAAATGATTTCAAAAATACAAATAAATACACGTTTCTGTTCACAGTTTTTTAAAAGAATGAGTGTTGAAAAACCTGCAATTGCAAAGCTGATATGACACCTCCACCTAACTGTCACAACATTTATTACAAACTACGGCAGGGATGATATTAAATGAGAAAGTTGATCGACAGGAGAAAACATATCTGAAAGCAATACAGAATGCCTGAAAGCTTTACTGCATTATATTGTGTCAATTTTAGATTTCAAATTGTCACCTCCTACCTAAATATGTGTTGTCCTTTACATCAATAAATATATTATTACACCATAAATTGGTGTAGAAAAAGTCACCAGAATGCAGGAACATTTAGTGATTAATGCTCAAAATATATAATTCAGTACTGAAGATTTCTTAAAAATAGTGTTAAAATCTTGTCTTGTCTCGATCTCTGGAGCCAAGTGTCTCCTCACACCCCTACTGTCTGATCTATGGAGGAGTTTTTTAGAAGTGGGTTGCTATTTTGTTTGTTCTCATGCACGTGATGCAATTCACAGACAGGCCAATGCTTGCACACTATTTACTGATCTACAGTATATGTACAGCAGTAATGCACCAAGAACACAGCAAGTTGTCAGTAATTGTGTACAAGTAAACTCAATAGTATAGTACAGATATTGTTGCATGTTGGGTAAGAGCAATGATGCCAGTAAGCCTAATGATGCTAGTTTTCCAGTAGTGATGTTCTCTGTGTGTGCAAGAATTAGCCCATTAATGTAGCTTTTTCTTCTGCTCCAGTCTCATTCAGCTTTTATCCAGAAGCTTCCAACTTCAGTTCAGAGCCACACATATAAAAGTTAATAAACAAATGTTTTACATTTATCTTACTGTTTACCCTTTGACAACTGTCTTAACATTGATGTTGGGTTCAAATGGCATCAACAATTAAATTAATAATAATTCTTTAATGATTAAAAATAGAATTTAACTTATTTTTTTAACCTTATTATTCAGGGGAGCTTCACTGAGCAAAAGCCTCTCCTATGCAGGAAGACTGATCACATTCACACCTGGAAGCTGCTCAGTACGACCACTGAGCAGCTCCGCTGGAGTGGTCGGGGTTTGCCTAAGGGCACCTAAGTGGTGTTAAATGTGGGAGGGTAAGAACTACATGTTCACTTTATGACGCTCTGAGATTTGAAACAGCAACTTCCCAGTCACAAACTTGCTTCTCTAACCTTTAGGCCACCACTGCCCAAAATTCACATTTTTAATTCACAAGCCATTCAGACCAAAAATACATTACGAACAGAGTGTTATTGAAACAGTCACATTTAGGTCCCAGAAAAGAGTACACAGCTACAGTGATTATATTTGAAAAGCAGTGAAACAAAATACAGTAAATAAAACTGATATATAACCTTTACATGAGGAGGCTTGAAAGGAAGAGGAGGAGGAGTTCATTATAAAGACAAAGTTGTTATAATAATCAGAGTTTCATTCAATATATGAATGAAGGGGGGAAAACAGTATTTACAAAACATTTTATAAAAGGAAAAACTGATGGCTGCACAGACAGAACAATGCTGATAAATATGAAGTGCTGCATTTGTGATTTGCTTTAACAACCACAAAACAAAAGATCAACAGTGAACAAAAAACCTGTAAAGTCGATCTAATGGTGCAAGTCTGCCTTACACTGGAAATGTATCCACTCACAGTAGGTCAGTCAAGACAATGTATACAACTTAATTACCCTACATGGTTTGATTGTATTCTTCAGTCATGGAGGGCATTTAAGCAAACATTCACATTGTCATACATGGCTCTTAGCTGAACAATTATTTAGTGTTGCATTAAGTGTGCTTTTCTATTTCTGACTGACACATAAGAAGTGTAAATAAGGACTTTTTGATATTATTTTGATTGTAACCAAGTTACAATCAAAATAATGTAGCTTTTCACAATACAAGCACCTAGGCAAAGGTCCTGCATGTATAAAATATTCTGATATGAGAGATGCTCTTTAGAGAAGTTTTGAGTAAATGTAACAGAGAACAGTTTTCCAGATGTACATAAATAGAATTATATACAAAACATAAAATGGACATTTCTTTTCCCTGGACACTTCTTGGTGCCCTAACAAGACTGGTTTCACATCAGTATACAAGCTCGAAACTTCAATATCTTATCTTAATATCCCCCGTATTTTTAGAAATGTCAGCCACTCATGCAAACAGCAGTAATCATCTCCATTCATACTAGTTCACAGAACATTCAGGGTTTAGTTCAGTTCTCCCAAACCATCAAGATTGTACAATTCGGTATCAACGTTTTTTTATTGGTGCTTTAGTAGCTATTTTAAGTACAAATAAAACCCACAAAACAATGTGTTTGTTTGTTATTCACGGGGAAAATCAGGACCAAAGCATTTTCAGAGCTGATATTTTTTATAATTCCGTAGTCTAATTTAGATGCACAATTTGAAAAGGAGACCTACTCATAGACTTATTTTGCTACTGATACTTGCTTCAGTAGTAGTGATGTTATTTGTAAATTTTAGTAGATTTTGTATTCTCATACAATGTTTCAATCAATTGACAAATGAATACAGTTCAATTATTTTGTATTTTCCCCACTTTCTTCTATGCATTTAATCCATTAACACTGAGAAATGGTTTCAAAATGGGTCAAATTCAGATGCATATGTTTTTTGAAAATGCAAATCATCCAAGATAAGTTAACCACCATTTAAAAAATGCACATTTGGGCATTTTGAACAGCTAAAGATAAAAAAAAAAAAAATGTATATCTGAATGGCAGACAGTGAGAAATACTAGCCTTTAAATCTTAGCTTATGCAGAGCGGGCTACATATTTGTTAAGTTACGACTTGCATGTCACCGTGACTTCCTGTCTGCCATTCAAACACTTCTCAGCTTCTAGCACCTGTAGGGTCGTTGGCTTACTAGTAGATAAAACCTTGTACAAAGAGGATGTTTTAAGTGAATTAAATTAATTAAGTGCAAGTCATGAATTCACTGCCACTTTCTTCACAGAGGGTAATAAATATCATGCTACTCTAAAATAACACATTGTAACCCTTAGGTATTATTGTTTGGGCAGGCTGCACTCTTTATAATGTTTCCGCAAGGGCACTGTTGTTCGATTGTATTGCACACATTAATTAGGTCCACAGACCAAACCTTTTCATCCAACATCCTGCGGACTACGCCCAGCGACCGCTGGACACAAAACTTCTGCTGAAAGAGAAACTTGTGTCCGAACTCTGGTGCTTTCCCCAAGCACCAAAGGGCACCACGATGATTGTGCTGTTGTCCTCGGAGCCATACTGAAGAGCCTGAGAGAGAAGAGAAATTCAGTAAACATTAACATTTGGGTAAACATCTGCTTACTGGCTATATTTTTGGTTGAACAGCTGTCTCAGACATAATGTGACCTAATGCTGTAAGGCCATTGTTAGGTTTTTTCAGTAGCTGGGTAATATTGGCTGCGACAGGGCTCCTAAGATAATTACATGCAGTCATACACTAAGTATTGATACAAAGACAATGTACATGAATATCACAGCTCTTGAATACCCACTATCTCTTATGGTGGGTGAGCTGTTAATCACTAATTATTTATCTCCAGGTTTTATAATGCATAAATTACATAACTGATGTATGTAATTGACGTAGCATGGCGACTATACAGGTGCTGGTCATATAATTAGAATATCATCAAAAAGTTGATTTATTTCAGTAATTCCATTCAAAAAGTGAAACTTGTATAATGTATACATTCATTCCACACAGACTGATATATTTCAAGTGTTCATTCCTTTTAATTTTGATGATTATAACTGACAACTAATGAAAACCCCAAAATCAGCATCTCAGAAAATTAGAATATTGTGAAAAGGTTCAATATTGAAGACACCTGGTGCCACACTCTAATCAGCTAATTTACTCAAAACACCTGTAAAGGCCTTTAAATGGTCTCTCAGTCTAGTTCTGTAGGCTACACAATCATGGGGAAGACTGCTGACTTGACAGCTGTCCATTGACACCTTGCACAAGGAGGGCAAGACACAAAAGGTCATTGCTAAAGAGGCTTGCTGTTCACAGAGCTCTGTGTCCAAGCACATTAATAGAGAGGCGAAGGGAAGGAAAAGATGTGGTAGAACAAAAGTGTACAAGCAATAGGGATAACCGCAACCTGGAGAGGATTGTGAAACAAAACCCATTCAAAAATGTGGGGGAGATTCATAAAGAGTGGACTGCAGCTGGAGTCAGTGCTTCAAGAACCACCACGCACAGATGTATGCAAGACATGGGTTTCAGCTGTTGCATTCCTTGTGTCAAGCCACTCTTGAACAAGACACAGCGTCAGAACCGTCTCGCCTGGGCTAAAGACAAAAAGGACTGGACTGCTGCTGAGTGGTCCAAAGTTATGTTCTCTGATGAAAGTAAATTTTGCATTTCCTTTGGAAATCAAGGTCCCAGAGTCTGGAGGAAGAGAGGAGAGGCACAGAATCCACGTTGCTTGAAGTCCAGTATAAAGTTTCCACAGTCAGTAATGGTTTGGGGTGCCATGTCATCTGCTGGTGTTGGTCCACTGTGTTTTCTGAGGTCCAAGGTCAACGTAGCCGTCTACCAGGAAGTTTTAGAGCACTTCATGTTTCCTGCTGCTGACCAACAGGACTTGGCACCTGCACACAGTGCCAAAGCTACCAGTACCTGGTTTAAGGACCATGGTATCCCTGTTCTTAATTGGCCAGCAAACTCGCCTGACCTTAACCCTATAGAAAATCTATGGGCTATTGTGAAGAGGAAGATGCGATACGCCAGACCCAACAATGCAGAAGAGCTGAAGGCCACTATCAGAGCAACCTGGGCTCTCATAACACCTGAGCAGTGCCACAGACTGATCGACTCCATGCCACGCCGCATTGCTGCAGTAATTCAGGCAAAAGGAGCCCCAACTAAGTATTGAGTGCTGTACATGCTCATACTTTTCATGTTCATACTTTTCAGTTGGCCAACATTTCTAAAAAATTTTTTTGTATTGGTCTTAAGTCATATTCTAATTTTCGGAGATACTGAATTTGGGGTTTTCATTAGTTGTCAGTTTTAATCATCACAATTAAATGAAATAAACAATTGAAATATAGCAGTCTGTGTGTAATGAATGAATATAATATCCAAGTTTCACTTTTTGAATGGAATTACTGAAATAAAACAACTTTTTGATGATATTCTTTTTTTCTAAATTAATTATATGACCAGCACCTGTGTAAACACAAAATAATCTACAGTCTCCTTGACGTGAGGAATTCATAACAACTATAATGCAAAGATCTACATTTACATGTTCTTTTTTTTATATATATATTTCCATTTAAAATCAGGCTACATGGGAAATATTCAGGCTAAGGCAGGTGTTTATACCTAGCAATACATATATTTGTAACATCCAATACACAACATACAGTTAAAGCATCCAATACATTTTTCTAATTGTCAACAAGTCTGCATTAAAAAGAACAAAATCAAAATGTACAAGTCTGCCTGTCAATATTTTCTGTCTTGCCTACAGTGTTTTTGAGACTCAAGCCCAAGTCCACTGATACCTATTGAAGACGTAAATCTTAAAAACAGGTCATAAATATGTGCTTTAATTACTTTTAAAAGGCCAAAACAAGCTTGGTACTGTAGATTTTTAGCAAAGATCTCTCAAATAGGAGAAAATGGTCCATTCACGGTACAAAATTAACTTTTTTGACCACCAGCCAGATAGCTAGTGAACATTCAAACTGTAATTGCTTTTTTAGGCTGGAGAGAGAAGGACATCCACCAGCCACTTGCATATTTTACCAGCATTTGGCTGGTGCTAAATTTGCTGGAGACTATTTTTCAACCACTCACTGTCTGAAAGCACCTTTAACCTTTAAGGAGAAAATGAGTGGTGTGAATTCATGCAGTAGAGAGCAGAGTGCTAATAGACAATACAGTTTTGGTGTAGGATATCTCCAAACATGAGATAAACATGAAGTACTTTCTGAAAAACTTCCATTAGTGTACACGCTACAAGTTAATCCCTCCATAAACTAGTGAGTGTGAATGAAGGCAAATCCAAAGTTACACAACACGTAGGCATTCATTTCAATAAATATGTCAAGCTGCCACAACTTGAAGTTGCCTTCAAATAAACAGCCTCCTTGTGCCATCAGTGAGGCATGTGTTTTTTTTACAATGGGCATATGAAAAGCCAAGTGTGACCGTCTCACCTGGTCAGATATTCTCTGAGCTGCCTCCTTGGGGTCGTGGCACTGGTTGATGACATTGCAGATCTCCTGGCTGTTCATAATGAAGTTAACGCCGTCTGTAGTTAGCGCCAGGAAGGAGTCGTGGGCATGGTGCAACTGAAGAAAGGGAAAGCCATAATAAGCAACATTTTGAAAACTATTTTTCCACCAAGTAGCACTGAATTATTACTTTGTATTTATAAGAGATAAGACATTCAACAAAACCTGAAAGGAGAAACTGTGTTGATGTAAAAGCAGAGAAAAATCAAATCCTAAAATAATAGCTTAATATACAGTGTCTTTATAGACATATTTACAAGTTGAGGCAAGTGAAAACGTCCATTGCTGGTTATTCAGATTAATATGCTAGCAGATTGGGGAACATCAATTCAAAAATATAACCCGATGTGCAATATTAATTGTAAAATGTTTACGTTACCACATTTAGGATGGAGGTAAAATGTGCACCCAAATATCAAGAGGGGCAGACTGTAATAGTTGCACAATTATAAATAGGAGCTGCATACAAACAGATAAGGGGGAGAAAAATGTGTACTGGCTCATGGAGGCCAGAGTGCTTGCTTAATACACCTGTTCTTACAAGCCTGTGTTGATATTATGCTGTTGTACATAGATTATTCACTTTTTCACTTTTTCATGCATTTGTTGGGTTGAGAAGCTGAATTTTTCACTGCGCAGTCTCTTAAATGCTGGCAAAATATTTAGATTAGAATACGGTCAAAATCCTGTATAAATTAGCCTGAAACACCCAGTGACAAATGGCTCTTTTATAAACTTACAGATATTCTCTTGGTCTCAGGCTCAGCAATGACCCCCATGTTCTTCAGGTCAAAATCTCCAATGCTGCGTGTCATGGCCAACCTGCCGTTCACGTTTGGCTGTCCCAGACTATTCCAGGTGATAAAACCTCCACTTCTCTTTATCCTTCAGAGGGAGCAGAGGGAGGAATGTACAAAATAAAAACTTCGGTTTAGAGAAAAAGAGCGATTTTTACCATAATAATAACAATATCCTTCTCAATACTGCAGATACAACTTCATCAGCACTGACAATACCACTGTTAAATGTGTTTCGAAGCTATTTGACTCATCCCCCAATAATGGGATTCTTTAGAACACTGAGGAAAAATTCTGATTTGCTGGGTTTTACTCAACAGGGAAAACGGCGATGCCGTCCCGTATTCAAACGTGTCGAAATAGTTTAAAATGTCAGTGTTTGGTGCATTTATTTGAGTTACTACACCAACATTTTACTTACTTACTGAGACAAAAGCAAAAGGAAGTGAAGTTAATTATATTCATTTTATTTTATTTTTCATTCTGCAGCTGTCCCCAGGGTTGAAGTCAGTCGCAACATGACTTCCATTCAAATAAATATTGTGTACTAACTAACAATGTACTAATAAGAAAAATAAAAGGTGTAATTTCTGAGTACTTTGTCTAAACTGATAAATGTTGCATACTGACAACATCTTTGTACCTCTCTTTCTCATCCTTCCTTTCAGGAGTGTGGTCGATGGTAAGTTTAAGGGCTTTGCCCTTGCGGCACAGCATGGCGCGGCTGTCACCAACACTTCCCACCACCAGCTCAATGCTGTCCCTCAGCAGGGCCACAGTGGCGGTGGTTCCTGCATTCATCCCGGGGGCTACAGAGACATAAAAGGAAACATCAGAGGTGGATCGTGCCATAAAAAAGGTCCAAACAAAAAGTAACTACAACCACATGGTGTTTCTTACACTCTCGCATTCACACACTAAAACACGAACACGTGGGTGGGAATTGGACTTACAGAAAACTAGAGATAACACAGTCAACTATTGAGGAGGCAGTCACACATGCAGGTCGAACTGTTTCAGCACAGAGTTAAGGTCCAGAGCAAATTTTTTTGAGCAGAGTTAAGTCTAAGGCTCAACCTAGAAATAATAAATGTTAACTGACACAACACTTATCAGTGTCCAGTCCTGATGTTGATATTCAAAAAGCAACACATAAACTCATCTTAAAAGAAAACAACTTTTCTGAATATTTCAGGAGAGGGGAGATTTATTTTACATATATGGTTTTGCATGCGTTTATAGTTACAAATGTGATAAATTCACAGCTAGTCTGAAAAGTGAAATCAGATTTAATTACTTTGTCCTTGGTTATTAACAACTCATATTAATGCAGGCAAAAACTAAGATGTTATTTTAACAGTGTTCCAGACAACTTTATGTGTTTGGCAAACAGTGTTTGCACAGCGGATATTTTACTACACACAAACTAAACTAAACTTTAGTTCATTTAGGGAAAACAAATTTGAAAGAACGTCATTAAGTGGACTTATCTGCTCACACTAGTAAGCCTGCATTAGACCTTTCTATTTCCAAAGAAATAAATGTGATGACTAAGTGGAGATAAGATTTAAGATGTGCATTTGTATGTGTGCCTAATCTACATATTGAACATGCTGCCTCTCACTCATCTGTCACTGACAACATACATCTCATACAACTTGTCAAACTGAAGCACTGTCTCACAAGAAGCTTTGCATACAATTGGTGAGAGAAGAAAAGAAAAGGGAGAGCGCGAGAAAGAGAGGAGTGAGAGAAAGATAGGGAACCTTCCAGTAGTCCAGGATTTAGGACCCGCTGGACTCTCCTTCAAAATCTAGCCTCTCGTCATCCACATTGGTGCCAAGGACCTCCAGCTCTTAGCTGGGTCAGCAGCTGCCGTAGATAACATGCACACACACACACAGGCATATTGGGACATTTCACACAGTGTGACCGATGTATGGCCACATAACAGGTATACTAGCTTTTATATCAACAGATAACCTTAATCAGACATAATGCCCTCTGAAAAAGAAGTCAAGCTAATTTGAAAAGTTTCCACATAACAAGGGCAAATATATAGTGAGAGATGTAATGATATAATGAGAAATGTTTTGCAGTAATTTGTTTGAGGGATGCTCAAATTACCCCTAATATCAATTTCAATGCCCATGATATCAAAAGATGGGTGACAAATTAAAGGAAAAAAACAACATTAAGTGTGTTTTGTACCACAAGCCTTTAGAATAGCTTCGAAGTTTGTTGGCATAGACTCTACAGGCGTTTAACTGGACTGAGATCTGGTGACTAATGGTAGCATATAATTCACTTTATTATTACACTCATCAAAAATCATTCAGTGACACCTCTTGTCCTACATGGAAGGATCAACATTTACTATGTTTATCCACACATTTTTCTTTAATTTGTCACCTTTCTGTATAAGTACATGCAGTACTGGAAGCAGTGAAACACTAGTGTTTGCTCTAGTTGTAGCTGGTTAATTTTTCATCAGTTATTAAGCAACTTTGGGTTAAACGACAGACCTCTAACCAAAAGTGCTCAGGTCATGTCAGTTGGGAAATCCAAGGCTTCAAAGCCTAAGTAGATAAGTAAGGTTTTGAAGAGAGAAGAAACATGTGTCATTACATATTTACGTGTGTATGCATATACAAAGTATATCTTTGTACATGTAATATGAATGAACCTACCATTTGGGGAGAAGTGCAAGTCCTTTTGAAGAGCTTTGTCTACTTCAAGGAAGGCCTTCGTCAAAACCAGTTCCAGATTGGACTCCTTTGCCACAAGATCCCTGAAACAACAACCAAAAACACTACATTGATAAGAATTTCAGCAACATCGATGGGCTGACTTTTTTTTGGCAACATTTTCAGACATTAAAATTGTTTATCAGTCAAATAATTTCCTCACTTGATGAATTTCTCCATGTATTTTTCACAAAAGTCAGCTGCTTCTGGCCCGCCATGCCCATCAAACACAGCAAAGTAGAGGATGTTGTCAGTTATCTGGGAGACCTGGAAGCGGTCTTCGTTCCCTTTGCGTTGACCAATGAGCGAGGCACAGCCTACCCTCGATAAGCTGACTTTAGGGATGGGCTTCCCGTAGCGAATGCTGGGAGGCAGCAGGATGGGCTCATCAATACGATTGTCCCAGATGCCAAATGAATCCCAAGTAGTGGGGCGGCCACTGCTGTCAGGATCAAAGCGTGTGTTGCTGTGCCGTCGTCTTGAAGGAGTGTAAATTTGTCTCCGCGAGATTGTGAACTGGAGGTGGCTGTCCTGCTGGAATGTGAGTGGGTAGACAAGGGCTTTCTGTAAAAGACCACTGCATCCCACATGAGGACCACTGCACCTTGCCAGGCGCATGAGAGAGGCTGCTGACATCACCCTGACAGCACAAGCCGTAGAAAAGAAAAATCAGTTAGTTAGACTGGATGCAGAATTTAAATGAACTTTACAATAGTTTTTTGTTTGTTCAGGAATGGCTCACAATACCTGAATGTCTAAAATGTTACAGCTATTGCCATCAACCCCGTGTTATTGTTTGTCAAAGGTCTCTTCAAACTAGAAATCATTAAGCTTCAGGTTAAGATGCTTTAGATTCAGAAGCAGGTTAATGTGATGCAAACCCTTTAATCGTTTAAAATAGTGACTTAGTTATGAAAGGATTGGTGGGGCCAAGAAATAAATTCAGTGCAGAGGAGAGACGGGGAGAGAATACTGATGATGGAGCTGCCAGGCAAGAGGAAAAGAGGAAGGCCAAAGAGGAGGTTTATGGATTTGGTGAGAGAGAGGAAGATGCAGAGGACAGGCGAAAGGGGGAGTAGAAGAAGACTTAATTAGAAGTCTTGAGTAAAGCTGAAACTAGGGCTGGGCGATTAATCAAATTGTGTTTTCGAAATTTGCTTCAAATGATAAGGCCTACGAAAACAAGATAATCAACATCTGTGCTTCGTGTGTGTGTGCCCCCCGCCTGCCCCAAACCTATGGGAAATACTGCTAGTCATCTTCTTTGCACTCTAAGTTGCAAATTGCAGGGGCAGCAGCAGCAGCACAGTCCATAAGGACTTGGCTTGGAAACCGGAGGTTCGCCGGTTCGACTCCCGGTTTGACTACAGATACGGACTGTGGACAGATACGGACCTGGACTTTGATCAGTTCAGGTGGCCTTAAGCAAACTACACTAAGTGACATCTCTCCATGTGTGTGTATTTCGGACCTGTCTGTGTAACCAAAAAATATAACAAAGGAGTTTCACCATGCAGGATTAAAAAGGTATGTCTTAATGTTGGATTACTATTTCTTATTTCATAGGCTATTTTGGAATTTTGGGATAAAAAACCAAGATGCATTTGAATCCTGATTTAGACACTTCAAAGCATACAGGTCAGCCCTATAAACCGTGTTGAGTAATCGTGATCTCAATATTGACCAGAATAATTGAGATTATGATTTTTGCCATAATCGACCAATCAACAGTTGAAGAAAAACTGACAGAAGAGTAATCAGTAACTGTTTCGATAAACAATTAATAATGTTTTTATTCGCCGGTTCCAGCCTTGGATATTAGGATGTGATGCTTTTCTTTGTATTACATAACAAACTGATTATCTTTGGGTTTCAAACTGTGACCGAACTACATTTGAATACAATTTTCCCTGGGAAATTGTGATGGCCATTTAACAAACAATTAACGGAGGAAAGAGATAATAGTTATTTGTTTACATCTTTCAAAGATGACCCCAAATAATCATGTTCAAATTATATTTTTATTTCAATAACGCCCTGTGAACAGGATGGATTATTAAAAAAAAAATCTGTTTATGACACACCTCACTTTACCCCAAGACTGCTCGATTAGAAAGGCTTGTTTACCCAACACAAGAGTTAATTCCCAGGAAAGAAGAAGCTAAAGGACATGACAAGTCTCAATTATTTCCATATACATTTGAGCTAATTACAAATATATATATAACTGAAAGGGCTGACCTTAATGATGGCAAATACTCACTGTGTATTTGTCAACTGATCATTATTAAAATCATATTATTATGAAATCTAACGTTACCCCCCTGTTTTAATCCTGTGCTTGCAAACAGTGCTGAGGTTAACGTTACATAACATTTGAACAGAATCGGGAAATAATAATGCACGAACGTTTCACGGTCGACGCGATGCATCGATCAGCAGCGGCGCTACATTTTGTTAATCTTGTTGGACAGAAAGGTCTTAAAGTAACGTTAAGATCAACCTTACACGAATGATGATGCAACTATTCAAGAAGGTTGCTGCTCGCTTCTGCCAGCATCTCGATAGTATAAAAACACAAGTGCCAAATGGGGTGTAACACCTTTGTTTCACACAAAACAATAGCAAATAACATATAGCTAGTTACTGCAGTTACGAAAAAACAAATGGACAAACTAAAGTTAGCGGTATTGACAGCGACGTTAGTATTAACTACCTAGCTACATAACGACAGCTATCTTTAGCTTACTAGCTAGCTAGGTGGCTAGCATTAGCTAGACGTTCAAGTTAACAAGACCATCCTATTGACCTTTCAGAGGTGTGTTAACAATAAATCATACCTTTTGTTTTAGATTTGTGGATACGCTTTAATCCTCGATTGGTTTCATGAAACGAACTCGCTAAAAAATGAATGACAATCCCCTCGTCCTCCCCTCGTCCTCGTGTTTTGGATCCACCCAACTGTGTTATCAAACAAGGGCTGCGGCCGAATACTCATAGAAACAACGTCCTACGTCCCAAACACTTCGACCTCGATGGAAAACATCATGACGAGAAGGAAAGATGGGAAGGACGATTCATCAGCAGGGGTTGGCTGAAATAGTGACATCTGACCAAAACTCTTCACTGCTAATACAAATCGAAGGTTTCCTGTTCAAAAGAGAATTACATATATTTATAGTGATGTACATTTAACCAGCAGTTAATCATAGGAAGTAACAACTAAATTGCTGAAAATAAAACACAAACAGGATTAAAACGTTGAATTAATATACCATCCTGAAATTATTATACAAGTAGAGATAGTTGAGCCATATAAATGATAATTAAATAAAAACAAGGAATTAAGCAAAGGGGCCAGAGTAAATAACATCCAGACATAAGTATATAGGCAAGAGTTTCCTGGCAAAAGGCTGCTGACCATTTTATACACATGTTAAGTAAGTTTTTTGTGCATTCCACAATGAGAGAAGATGACTCCTAACTGGATAGATTTGAAATCTATATGTATGGATTTCCATAAATTTTGGATTGTGCACGAGCATAAAATAGATGCCCCGTTTTTTCTACATTTATGTGGCTCTGCCATAGTAAAACTACAATAGTGCGTTGTTTCAAATGTTGCTGCCGCAAGGAACTGTGGGACGACATTACCTCCTGTCTTTTCATAAAGGATGATTCAGTGCAAAAAGAGATAAGAAAGTAAACAGTGTAGCACCTCTCCTTGCTCCCACCTCCTAAGCTAAAAAACCACTGGACGTGCTACGCCAATCAGCATGCTAGAAACGTTTACGCCTACTTTGACGCCCCCAAGACGAATGGTCCAAGGAACGATAAATGACAGCTGTATGCACCAATCATCAATCAGCAGCGGCAAGCGCCAAGCCCCTCCCCTTCTTGAAGGCGTTTTGCTTCCAAATAACCAGAGAAACAGGAAAATGAAAAGTGGTTGTGTGAACAGGTTATAAAACAAATAAAGGCATAGAAGAAAATTTTTAACATTTACAATGACAGCACCCTCACAATTGCATAATGAAGCAGAAATGCATAAAGAAAGTATGAAGAAAATACAAGGATAAATGAGTTGGGGAATTAGGTGGGGTGGATGCAAAGGGAGATAATAGGCTACACAAATTAATACAGAATAAATAAATGTAAAAATTATTTGGTTCCATGGTTTTCTATCTCCTTGAAAATGGGGAAAATTACGTTTTACAAACTATCTGCAGGTGCCATTCTGATGTATCCTGCTGCCAGTCAGAGTAACATTTGATATTGAAGGACCCTGTAGCGTTAGAGGTTATTATTTATGTGAATTTCCCCAAACTTATTTACTTCTCTATACACACCATTATGTTCTTAGTTCTTCTGGCGCCCAGTCACCTCTTATTTCCTCTGGGACCAGTGCACTATTTTAGATCAGAAATAATTATCAAATGTATTTAAGGGGCCATTTAGTACATTTCATGCTTTCCACAAGCAAAGTCTGAATAAGCATGCTGTCCAAATGTGGACGTATTGTCTTGTGTCAACCATAACTTACTAAGGAGTTAGTTTGATCTGATTTAACCATTCAGTAACCCACATAGAGCTCACAGCATTGTAAAACTGTTAAACGCTGTGATGAAATATGATATATTTTAATATTAATGATTCCAGATGGTTTCCTATACTATTTTGTTTAGTGTCTTGTGGTAACTTGTCAGGCCCATTGATCTGTGTGAAGTTTTGGACTGGATTCAGTCAGTCTCACTAGCATGAGCAAAATACAATTCAAATGCAGCTTTCAACCATATGGTTTTGTCACATGACTCTGTGCTGTCAGTGTAGTTATAATGATGGCTAAAGTAGCCAACAATTCTTAACTATGCTGTTTTGTCATGTTGTTTTGGATGAAAGTCTTTTTCACAGTGTAATTAAGTGTAACTACAATGGTGTGGTTTATTGGCTAAATTACAAATGGAATGCATGCATACATTTAAAAATCACATCGCATTGAATCGAATGGATCAAAATGCAACTGCCTCTCACAAAAACAAAATGAAATTCAATTCACATTAACTCCTCCCTGATATCTGTCAAACAATATGTATACAGTACTGTAAAAAAAGTGTGGGGAAAATGCTGTAAAGAAAAAATGCTTTCAAAAAAGACATGTCAATATACGCTAACAAAATTATAAACGCAACACTTTTGTTTTTACTCCCATTCATCATGAGCTGAACTCAAATATCTAAGACTTTCTCTATGTACACAAAAGGATTATTTCTCTCATATACTGTTCACAAATCTGTCAGAATTTGTGTTAGTGAGCACTTCTCCTTCGAGATAATCCATCCACCTCACATCTGTGGCGTATCAAGATGCTGATCAGACAGCATGGGTATTGCACAGGTGTGCCTTAGGCTGGCCACAATGAAAGGCCATTCAAAAAAATGTCCGGAAAACCAGTCAGTATCTGGTGGGACCACCATTTGCCTCACGCAGTGCAACACATCTCCTTCACATAATTTATCAGGTTGTTGATTGTGGTCTGTGGAATGTTGGTCGACTCCAAGAGCATCAATTCTAGCTGCTTGGGGAAATCAGATGCCCCTCCAAAGAAGCTTCCTCTGGCTACAGGACTGTCTTTCCAGAAGCATTGAAGCTGCATTGTTCAGACCTCTCCCTCAAGAAAAAATATCTTGACTCGTCCATTTTGAACAAATAGGTCTGTTACAAATCATCCCTTCATCATGACATGATCACTGCTTACAGACTCTCTGTATCTGTGGGGTTATAATTTTTCTTTGCAGCCCCTCGAAATAAAAAAATAGGCACCATTTGGCAACAGTTGGTATCAAAATAAAAGCGGTGATACTGTAAAATAGAAACGTTTGCACTGAAAATGTTTAGGATAAATGTTTAGGTTAAAATGTATCTTTTATTCTTTATTTTAACTCCAGTACAATGACAAAGTACATATACACACCATAGACTGTATATACACCAGGGGCAAAGTTGTAAACAAAAAAACAAAACGAAAACAAACATATAATCAGCAGTTCAGGCAATTAAAAATGTACATATATCAAGAATCTTTAAGGCTTTGGGGTGCTGAATAGCTTGTATGTATTTGTTGCATTTCATTCATAAAGACTTTGAAAACGTTGCAGCAGATATATTGGGCAAAGTCGTTCCAAAAAAGTGACAGTAGGCTACAGGTACAGGTCCAAAATAAGTGTATGGTTGTTTCACAATGAAGTCCACAGAAAGAGCAGTTAACGTCTATGTAATTTCTTAGTATAGGCTAGTCAGAAATCACTAGTCAGATGGATGCGTCACAGAATTTGTTGAAACACTCCCGGATCGGCGGGCCAATCGCAGCCTTTCCTGCCTACAACGTTCTGTGACGTAGGCAGCATTGGTACTTCCTAGTTTGTTTTCTGAGCTGAACCGAAACCAGACGCCCAAATATATCAGAATGCATCTGTCCAGGTAAACACCGCATTTTAATTTTGGATGAACCAGCAACATTGCAGCACGGTTTTACTGACTGTGTAGACATCGGATAGCCAGGGGATTGCTGGTTGTTTTTTTTAACCACAAGATTGACAGTCAGCGATGCCGTAGGTTTGCTAAGGTTAATTAGCTAACTGTGTAACTGTAACGTTAACGGCTTGTTTTAGGTCATCCAGCCGTCTGTTTAACCAGCTAATGTCAGTGCAGAAATGTAGCTACGCCTGCACACTGTGTTAAACATGTCTGCACAGCGCAGACCCAGGCCACTCCTTCACTTTCTCCTCAACAGCAAGCTAACATAACCTTAAAAAACGTTACATGTCCTACAGCTGATTAGGCTAGACCATTAAATTAACGCCACTTAAATACAGCTAGCTACTAGCTTCATATTAAGCTAATGCAGTGATTGCTAACCTATGTTGCTAACAGGTAATAAACATGGATTCACATTATTTCCTAGGAGCTCAAGACCAAGTCTGAGGTGTTACAGCAAGTTAATAATAACATTTAGCCTATTCACGTTTTATCCAGTGTTTACCAATTGGGTTCAGTGTGTTAACTGTGGTCTTACAGTTCATTTTCAATTATTTCTTACACTCTCTCAGTATACACCCAATTGTCAGGTTAGTAGGTAACAGTTGCACTTAGGCATAAATAATGCAGTTTAATATAACAATCTAGCTTTCCTCATGAAGGTTACAATGGTCAACGTTGATTTAATTTGGAGTGCTGTTTATCTGTATTGCATTATACTACTGCTACTTATCATAGCCATTAAGTTGATTTGTAGCATTTGCAATAATCAGGGATTACAAAGTGCTTTACAAAAGTCAAACAAAATAATAAGTGAATAGTGAACATTTGAATTAAATGGTAAAACCCTAACAAGGAAAAGACTAATAAAACACAAAATATATATTCATTCATGTAGCTGACACCTTTATCCAAAGCGACTTACAATTGCTATTTATGTCAGAGGTTGCACGCCTCTTGAGCAACTAGGGGTTAAGTGTCTTACTCAGGGACACATTGGAGGATGCGTCTTATCCACTGCACCATCACCACCCAAATAGAGAGGTGTTTCAAATCTTTTGTGTACTGTTATTGATATATAATAGTTTTAACAAAAACCTAACATCATAACTGGAGCTGCATATAAGTTTAACATTAATTTCAGTTGTTATTGCCAGTTATTTTTTCAATATATCCATAAAATGTGAGAAAATTTTGAAAATAAATCGATTGATTGTTTATTCTGACCAACAGTCTAAAATTTAAAGATGTTCAATTTGCTTTTATAGAGGACTAAATAAACAAGCAGATATTCATATTCACATTATTTAATCAAGTAATCCATTTTCAGGATATTTGCAGATACATTTTTTGTCAGTTATTGATTAATGGACTAATTGTTTAGCTGTAATTCATGGTGGTAGGATTTATTGCAGGGCTTTTGTAATTGATTGCATTCATTTCTGTTACGTGCCTAACATATT